TAGAGTGTGCGATGGCTGTGTTCAGACCCCAGCTGTTTCTGTTTATTTGTGCTGCAGTCAGATCCAAAAGAGCCCAATCAGAATCAGGGCCCCACTATGCTAGGGGAAGATTTGATCCCCCACCTAAATTGATTATAATCTAAGAAACCCCCATGTGTGTTTTCTCTGGACATTTTAGTGAACAAAATTTATTACTAGAACTGGTTAGAAAAATAGAATTTTTTTTCCCCTGGGAGTTTTTTTGGGGGGGGATGGAAGGGAGAGAATCATAGAAATTGAAATCAGTTGAAAAATCTCAGTTTTCCTGTAGGAAGTTTCAGACCAATTTGAAATGAACAGTTATTTCAAATGGACAATTCAAAGTAAAACGGTCATTTCCATTTCATTTTGAATAATGCTCTAGAAAGACGTCGTATCAAAATGTCATTTTGTTTCAGCTTCTTAAAAATCAAAAACAAAGCATCATTTGAAGTTGAAATGAAACAAAAATTTTAGTTTCAACATTTCCTGCAGGAATTTTTTTTGGTCTGAATTGACATTTTTCTGTGAAAAGTTTCAGTTCTGACCAAACAATATTTGATCCTATATTTATTGGCATTGGGATTTATTGGTATGTATTTGACCATACATTTATTGGTTGTAGGAGACCGTGAACTTTAAATGTCATTATTTATCATTTATTTTACAGCAGCATCTAGGGTTCAGTCAGAACAGGGCTCCATTGTGCTAGCTGTTGAATGAACATACTAGAGAATATTCGTGGAAAGCGAATTTTGAACTTGTAAAAGGCAAATATTCTCACTGGAAACCTGATTTGTTCATCCAGCCAGGGAACAAACACCTTGTGACTCCAGTGTCCAATTAAAACGAACTATCCCAGCTCAACTCTCAGAAACTCAGAATTATTCACAGAAATGAGGTGTTCAATCATTCTGAATGACTGATCTCTCTGGGTAAGTCACACACTGCTCGCTCCATCTCAGAACAGAAAAAAGAAGCTAAGTTCATCCAATAAATTATTCACTACAAATTATTTGCTCAGGTTTCATTAAACCACATCCATTGTATATTGGGAAAGAGAAGGAGACACATGTATGAAGATTTCCTATTGACGTCTGGGATAGAAGCAGTTCTCCATTGCATCTGTTTTCCAAAGAATCACACTCCACAGAAAGCAAGTTAACGCTGCAAAGATCAATGATGAACTTTCCTATGAGTCAGTCTAAGAGTTACAAGACGAGTCTACAATACAGAGAGAAAAATACTCAGTGAGAGAGTTAGCAAACTATCCAATCTCCAAAGCCCAAGAACACGCGCAAGTTTTATCCTGGACACGCTGCAGTACAAGACTCGTCGCCAGATTGTCAGGCGTGCCCAGCCTCTAGAGTTGGGGCTTGATTTCCAAATGGGCTCAGCTCCCATTGTGGGAGCTGCTGGCAGGGGCGGCTCTATGTGTTTTGCTGCCCCAAGCACGGCAGTCAAGCGGCTTTCAGCGGTGCGCCTGCGGGTGGTCCGCTGGTCATGCCGATTCGGCTGTGTTTCTGCGGGAGGTCCGCCGGTCCCGCAGCTTTGGCGTACCCGCCGCCGAATTGCCGGCGAATCCGCGGGACCGGCAGACCTCCCGCAAGCATGCCGCCGAAGGCAGCCTGACTGCCGTCCTCACAGGGACCGGCAGGCCGCCCCCGCGGCTTCCTGCCCCAGGTACGCACTTGCTGCTCTGGTGCCTGGAGCCGCCCCTGGCTGCTGGGTGTTGAGAACTTATGAAAATCTGGCTCACTGGTGCCACGTATGGTATCTTAAAAGGGAACAGGGATGAGCCCTGGGAAGGTCATAACCCATTTTTGCACAATTAATCTTTTCTTATGGGGCTGAAACATGAGACTTTAGTGACAAACAGCCAGCTATTTCCACAGGAAAAGAGGGTTTTTCTTTAAAAATACCAGCTCTGCAGGGAGTATGCTCTTGGAGCAAAGGCTGTTTTTGGAGTTTCTTCTAAATTGGGACATAAATGGTGTTTGTTCAATAGCTACAAATGTAGGAGAAAAACTAAAATCTGTCCCAGAAAATTCCTTCCAAAATTTTGCATCAAAGAATCCATCTCCTACAATGGCAGCGGAGACCACAGCAGGTACAACGTGGCCAAAGGGTACGTGTGCCACACTTCACAGCATACAAAATCCAAGAGATTTATTTAAAAAAAATAAAACACTTAAAAAATCAAAGACAAATGCAAGATACAACCAGAAGGTAAAAATCAAATAAAACGAATCAATTGCACAGCTATGCCTCTTCCCCCTGCCGCTTCCATTCCCCGTAGCAACATTCCCAAGAAGCCATTGCTTGTTCTAAAAGATTGTGTCTCAAGACTGGAGGTATCACCAAGAGCTACACTCTAGGGCTTATGTCCTCCCTCCTGCATTCAGCAGTAGGTTAATCCAGGGAATAGAACAGTCTATGGAGCAGTCATGGTCTCTCCCATATTCAAAAGCACCCAAATACCTGGGAGGCATTGTGTTTTATACGGGCTGTGTCAGAAGGTAACATTCCACTCTGGAGCGCAAAGAAACAAAAAGACAGAAGGGGTCTGGGCTGCCAGGAGAACAGACACTGCTGCGTCTGCTGGAAGAGCAGCTCAGAGACAGCCTAAGAGGAAGAGGAACAAATACTGAGATGGCTGGAGGGGAGTCTGCTGGCTCCAATACGCTAGGAGAGATCTTCAGCTTGCTCCCCCAGCTATTGGTGCCATTAGCACATCACCTGCTTCTCGCAAGCAGCTCAACATCTTTGCTGTATCAGAAGGAAGCTCCGGGTTGGGTCTTTGCCACTCCAATTTCTTGAGGTGGACGGGCATGTTTGGCTTGTCCCTTCAGATTTCCAGCTCACTGCACGCATTGCGTCACAGAGCCTGGTAGGCATGGTTACATACTAGAGCTGCTGCACCTGATGTCAGCAGTGTCTGCTGGGATTGCTCAGGTATGACAAACTAGCCTGACACATCGCTCCAGAAATATACGACATAAAACCAGGTTGTTTTCCCCCATTTCCAAAACATCTGCTGTGAATTAACAACTCAGCTTACACCAGCAATTACACGGACAGATGAAACGAGGCTGCTAGCATACCCCATTGCTCACAGGTAGCAGTTCCTATTTTCTGCACTAGTGACTCCGTCTCCTGTGGACTGAAATTTGGCTTCCTCTTTCAGCATTATCAAGAGCTGGAAGGTTGCTGCCTTAGAGTTGGCAGTAGCTGCTGGGAATGTCCGTTTCAATCTCTAGGGAAGCCAGGGTAGTATATACAGGGCTAGGCTGTTTTGACAAGTTCCTTATAAATAAATACGTGCTGTTGTTATTGTCCTTATTTATTAACGACATTTCCTCGTCTACCATGCACCAATCAAGGCTCTTGTCTGTTTCCACTGCCAACAGTGGGACAAATTCTCTGCCAAATTTACACCCATGGCAAAACATTCACGTAAACCAGAGATGAGGTTTGGGCAAACCAATCTGTTCCGATGCGTCCTGAGGATTGACAGAATTGTCATTTTGTTGAAAACAATGCAAACCTTGATGGCATCAGCTGAGTTTTGCGTTGAGTTTCATGTTCACTAAGTCATTAAAACCCTTGCACAAAAGAGCCCTCACCCTCAAGCTGCCTGAAAAAATTCCCTTCCCCCTAGAGCTTTCCAGTGTTCTAGTTTGGGAAAGACGGGTCCCATTTCAGACTCACTCCTGTCACTGATTACTAACAGCACAGCCGGGGTGGATATGAGAGAGTATGACTGAAGTCCATTTGTGATTAATACTCCACAGCCTGTCCTCTAGTGCTAATGCGTTCACCTTCCATTTATCCCAGCACAGCCCCACACAGTAGCCAAACCAGCAATCTGCGTACAGTATTCATTTCTAACTCCCATATATCTGACTGACACCAAGCCAGCCTCACATTTACAATCATTTACACCTCTTTCCTCCGGAATGCCATGCAGCATATTTCCTACAGCCCAAAGAGTGTATACTCTGGTCTCTGATGTCAAGGCGGGGTATGCACTGTATTATTTTCCTCTTACTAGCATTATACAATGAGATATCCTTCTGCGATTCCCTTCCTGTTTAATGGGAATTTATTTAATTTTGTTTTGATGATGTGCAGTGCTGTTAATTGCTGTTCTAACATCTCTAATGATAGATCCTTCCTAATTGTTTATAGCTTGCCTACCTCTTAAGTGCTTAAATACATTCAAATACTAATTTATTCGCTGCAAAAATTAGAAATTTCTTCTCAGCAATGGATAGCGCAGCACATTTAATATGAAAACTTGAGTTCAAATTGCTGAACTCTTAATTGAACTCACTAACTACATTCTTTTTGAAACCTAGTTTTTCAATATAGTCTTCAAATTGCAGAACTAACTTTGCAAGTTGAGACAGCAGCAAGAAGAGATGCAGCAGGCAATGTTACAATGGCATTATTTAAACATTGGATACACAATTAGAGAACAATATAACCAGCAATAAAATTACTTTTAATTTAAACAGCGTTGTTCTGCATTTACATTTTAAATACTACTTGGCCAGTTACAAAATCAGCTGCAAAGGTTTCTTCTTTTCATGCATTTCCTTTCTATAATGGATTGGTTCAATAATCTTATAAAAGATAAGTTTCATCCACAAGGTATTAACGTAATGAGACCAAGCAGAACAACAAACGTTCCAAACATTGGGGTAGCATTACCAGACATTCCTAAGTGCCAAAGAAAAAACTTAGAAAATCAAGTCCAGGCCATATATTGAATGGATGTAGCGCAGGGACTTTTTACTGTTCTCTAAGCATGGGAATTTTAAAGAATAGTCTCTACATTTCTGTATCAATATTCAATGATAGCCCAAAAAGTGATTCCACCATAGCAGAAGAATTCTGCAGTTTTCAGCAATATATTATAGCCATTGCAAAACTTCATTCTAACAAATTTAGGCTCTGAGTAACAAAGAAGATCTTACCTCATAATGTGCCACCCGCTGAGATTCTGATATTAGCTGAGCACTGCACACTTTGCAATAGCTTTCAGTGAATAATTCCTGGTCAATATCAGACGACTTCATCTGCTTACAGTGATACAAACAGACAATAGAACAGAACGAATGATTATTTTCAGTACTAGCACATACCACGGACAATATAGAACAGTTAAATTTCACAATGATCCATGAAGAGTGGAGCAAGCCAACATTCCGAGGAAGTTGGATGTTCTCCAAAATGTCATTACAAGCGAACGAAGCTGTAGCATCTTAAATTCTGTAAGTATGGAGAAAGTAGGCAACCCCAGCTAGATACCATTGTATGCAATTCTCAAATAAATGGGGAGTTGTGCATCCAGTAGGGACTGCGGATAATCTATTTAATTCTATTCTTGAATGATTTGGAACCATCAAGTTATGCACACAACTAGCCTATGTAAATACACGTTCTTATTGCTGATACCCTCCTTTCTCCGCCTTCTTACTGTCTGTTACATTTACTTGCTGTGTCTTTCTTAAATTGGATCATAAATAAACTTTAGGACAAGAACCATGATACCCTGTAATACAATAGGGTCCCATTATGGGCTTGGCCTTCTGGTTTCCATTACAATGTAATAAATAAAATAATAATAAAGGACTCAAAGGAAACAGCAGAAAGCAAATAAAATGTTCTGAGCCTGTAAAAGAAAATCCAGACCTAAAAACGTTTACCTTTTTAATAAACATAATTCATTATTGCTGGTATTATTTCCGGATTTCCACAATGAAAAGCCAGACATGGAATTAATTACAAAAGACCCACCCCCCAACCACACACACCTTGCTCTGCTTGCTGCAGTGTATGGTGACATGTTTCAATCTGATGACCAGAAGTGCTGTGAAAACATTTCTAAGAAACACCTAGAGACACAACAACATAGGAGGCATGTGTTCAAGACCTACGGATCACTACTTAGGACTGATGGATCATTTAAGTGATCCAAAGTCCCTCTGACTTGGGGTGTGAGCAGGACCTGAACATTTGTCTCCAAAGTCAGGACAAGATAGGGTATTGACCCACTGCACCTCCCATTTTAGATATATGGATTTTTACCATGTGTCATCATGCCTCTCGTCTCCAGAGTGCCTCCTGGTGGCCAGGTACATCATTACAGGGATTTTCTCAGCACAGCACCACCTGCAATTATCCTAGTACCACAAAAGTCTCCTGATGTGGGCGGTCTCTCCCTCCGGCCAGCTCCCATTCAGCCCATCCCTCCTGTCAAGCCCATCTCCCAGCCTCTATCTGGCCCTTTCTGTTCTTCACGTCTTTTCTTCTTGACCCCAGTCTCTCTCTTCTTGGCCTGGGGCAGGGCCGACGCTACCCCATTGGGAGCCCTACGCAGGAATATTCCCCCCCCCATGACACTGCACCCCATATTCTTCATAGTGATATTATTATATGTGATATGATTATGGCATAATTATGATGGATTTTATGCAAGATGGGTCATGTAAGATGTCATTGGAAAAGTTATGATTTGCTGAATACAGTTAGCCTGTTTGTGTGCATGTATCATTTTTGAGTCTGAAGTTATGATTATTGGCTATACATCTGTATTTCACATGTAGTTACACCTGGGTGATGCTCACTAGGCAAGATGCTTTCAGTCTAGGTTGTGGGTGGGGAAGGGCCTATTCGGGGTAATGGGCCATTAGGGGGAACAATAGGCCTTAGGAGAAGATTATCCCGCACCTGGTGAGCCTTCCTGAGAACACTCCAGACGCTTGTAAGTAATGGCTGCTATGACTCAGCAAGGTATGCAAGGGCCTGTGACCAGACCACCTGACTCTGAACTCCATCTTGGGAGGTCAGTGTTTTGCCACAACTGAGGGTTTGGGACAAAGGGTCAGGATTGCCTGAGCTGCCTGTAGGGCTTCGGGCATCGACGGCACCTGAACCTAACAGAGGCCTGCACCGCTATCCGGAGTCACAGGCAAGGTATGGGATGGGCTGCACCACACGGCTCGACCTGAGCTGGGGCCCGACTTCCCGAAGGGGGCACTGAGCTGCCCGATACCGGTCTTGACTCGCCTTCTCCTTTCCCTTGCAGGAAGTAGGAGATCTTCCCCTCACTGTCTTCTTCGGCATCTTGGCTGGAGCCGTGGAGGGGGATCGGTACCGGCTCGTGGATGGCGCTGGTGGAGCACTGTGCACCGACGCCGTGGTGCTCAGTGCGGAGTCAGACCATTGCTCCAGTGCCGGAGTGCGCGCCGACTCCATCGGGGCGCTTTCAGGCAGTTGTCACGCTCCTTTTTCAGCCTGGGTTTGAAGGACTTACAAATACGACACTTGTCGCTTATGTGCCCTTCGCCCAAGCACCTCAGGCAGCTACTATGTGGATCTCTGATGGGCACAGGCTGTTTGCAATGATTGCAAGGCTTAAATCCTGGGGACCGGGGCACGCCCCATCCCCCAGCTGAGTCCCATTCAGGACGAATGAAGACTTTAAGAACTACTACTAAGGGTAACTAAGTCAACTACTAAATATATACAACTGTATTACAGGTTTTATAATGTTCGCAAGAACGGAGAACAAAGCCAACGCTAGCCGAAGCAGCAGATGTTCCAGCACCGTCACTGGTGGCAAGAAGGAACTGAGGGTGGGGGGAGCTGGCAGTGCCCCATATACTGTGGCACATGCACTCCACTCCAGAGGGCACCAGAGCCAGTCACCTACAGATACTGCTGAGGGAAAAACTTCCGGCACCAGTTCATGTGGCGAGCACGCACACCAAATATGGACTGGACGTGAGCAAGCACTCGAAGAACTGCTAATTCATAGGCAATCTAACTAGTGTCTTAAGCTTAGTTTGCATTTTTGTTTATTTGCTAGGCAATCTGATTTGATCTGTTTGCTATCCCTTATAATAACTTAAAAGGGATCTTTTGTAGTTAATAAACTTTTTTTGCTTTATCTAAACCAGTGACATGCATGGGAAATTGTAGCAGGGTAAACTCTATGAGCTAACACTGTACAAATCCCTGTGCAGTGCAAGACGGTATAATTTTGGGTTTATGATCCAGAGGGAATGCGTGCCTGGGGAGCTGAGAGTTACCTTGGCTGCAGCCTTTCTATGGTTGGTTCATGCAGTGGATGGTCAGAGAGCCTGCATGTAACTGCAGCTGGGTGTGCCCCTACCTGTGAGAATGCTGGGGGAAGTGTAGGACCAGGAGCGGAAATGCAGCTTGTGAGCAGCATAGTGTGAGAGGGAGCCTGGGCTGGTGGGTGAGAGGGCTCAGTGGTACCCCAGTTCCAGGTGGTACCCTGTGGGGAACCAGTCACCCCCCCACACACAACACATACTAATAATTAATAGGGGACCCCCTTGAGCTGCTTGGGGCCCTAAGCAATTGCTTAGGGCATGTCTTCACCAGCAATGCTAAAGTGCTTTAACATGGCTTGTGTAGTCACAGCACAGCGCTAGGAAACCCACCTCCATGAGGGGCATAGCTCCCAACACTGGTGCAGTCTATACTGGTGCTTTACGGAGCTGAAACTTGCAGCACTCAGAGGGGTGTTTTTTCACACCCTTGAGTGAGAAAGTTGCAGCGCTATAAAGTGCCAGTGTAGACAAGCCCTAAGTACGCTTATGCCTAGCACCAGCTCTGCCTGGGGGGAGAGGTAGAGGGACCCACGCCCAGCCCTCTATCCCCTGGGTTCCAGCCCAGGGACCCTGGTTAGGCAGCTAAGGACTATTCCTTCCATCCTTCCCCAATTTTCTCTGGGCTGCTCCTACCTGTACCTCAGTCATCAGCATCTTCACACGATCTGCAGCCCCTGCCTTGAATTGGTGGTTCCTCAGCTTCTTCTGGGACCAGCTACAAAAGCATTTCCTAAAAGCCAGTCTCAGCTCTTCCCTGTAGCAGCTGGATTGTATTGCCAGCAGCTCTCTGCCCCTTGTACTGCAAGTCAGTATCTCTCTCCTTTAAACAGGTGCTCCCCCTCAGCCCTCTCTCTGGGACTGGGTTTGTATTCATTCCCTGCCACTTTGCCTTAGCTTACTCAGTTGCAAGGCTTTAGCCAGCTCCCTTCAGCTGAGCACCCTCCCCAATTAGCCTTCCAATCTGAAGGGGTCAGCAGCCCAGCCTTCTCCTGTCAGTATCTGTCTGCTGGGAGGGAGGAGGCAGCACCAGCTTCTATGCTGCTCCCCTTCTCCTAACATTTTCCCAATTGGTTGTGTGACAGAGAAGTCTTGCCCTGCCTTCTCTGCTTCCAGTCTCAGATTCCTTCTCCAATCACCATTCCTTCCCCGGACCCTTAGGTCTCCGTATGTATTTATGGGACCTTCCAAACCCTTAAAAGTCTAAGCCAGGCACCAGGGCGGGCTGCCCATTAGGCACTATTGCCCTCAGTAGCAACTACCTCCTCACAGCTGTTTTACTATTTTAAGTGTATGAATTAAGATTGCAAACTGTTTTCCATCTTAATTATCCTCCAAATATATAAATACTGCTGTGCATAACCATTTATAATATGTATTACTCATACCTGAAACATGCTTATAACACCTGTTAGTTTATAAACAGTTAATGATTATCTAAACATGTAATTTTATTATAAAATGTGATGGACATGCAGTTTGACATGATAGTGTTTTGCAGCAGTATTCCAGACCCCAAGGGAAACCGCCCTGGTGATTTACTAGGTTTTGCTGTTCTCAGAGAGCTATTTAAATATTTTTGTATTCCCTGCAATTTACTATAAGGAAATTCACAAAAATAGATTAAATGAGTGACCTGGCTAATAGGAATCTCTAAATCCACTGCACACTCCTTCCTCGTTATGCAAGTGACTGCAGAAATCAAACGTTATGAAAAGATATCCAAGGTACAAGTCAGGAAGAGCAAGGCTGGTAGGAAAGTGAACCCTAGCAAAGCAACTGAGCAGCAGAAATAGCTTTAGAAGCAGCATATACAAATCTGTGTCCTGATCAAGACCCATTTTCTATTTGTACATCAGTCACAACAACCCCATGTGCAGTCTAAGGTGGTAAACAATACAGCTTCTTTAGCACTGATCTGAGTCAATTGATTGTGA